AAATTCCTAACTGGTTCCTGGTCTGTGTGTCCCTCCCCCACCCCCCAAACCGAGTTCTCTAGTCTTCACTCTCTGTCCCTACTCCCACTTTCCAATCACTCAGCTTCCTACAGCCTCCATCCATGGCCACCTGGAGCAGTGAGCATTTGCTCTGCCTCCTACTCCACCTCCCAGTCAGCATCTCTTCACAGAACTGGCCTCTCCCTGTTGATGGTCCCCCTCCTGCACACTGCTCAGAGCTACTCTCAGGAAAAGCTCAACCTCCCTGTAGTCCTGCCACTCCGCCTGCCTGGTTGCACATGAATATCCCGGCTGAGGGCTGAGACCAGGATACACAGGCCTCTGTACCTACTTCCCATGTCCTCAGACCTCCCACTGCTGGGCAGAAATTGCATCAGCCCAGCTTTTACTATTCTCTGCTGACTGAGTCCAAGATGAAGATTCTGGATTTTATTTAGCTCATCTGTCTTGAACTAAACACAGCCCAACTCTGACCCTAACTTGACATTTCCAGGATTTTGGACTTCCCCAGGGTGAGGAAGACATACTCTGGGTTGAGTTAGCTGGTAAAAAGGGAAGCCTTTAGTGTAAGGAAATAGAGTATTTTTATGGGGTAGTTGGCAAGTCTTTAAGGTGATGGAGAATTACTGGGGTCAACTTAACAAAGAGACTAAGTTATTGGGAGATGGAGATGGTTGTGGAGGAGAACATTAGAGGAGCTCTATCTCAAGGCTCTTTGACACTAGCTGCTACCTTACTCAGCTCTCCTTATACCTGTACCTCTGGCAGAGGGGAGCAGAGATAGTCTGGTAGAGTTGGAGCTAATGAGCTTGAGCTGCTTGCTGTTTGCCATGCCTCCTTTTCCTCTGCTCCCAGCCTGACGACTACATTATCTTTCCCATAGCAAAGCAGAAATTGAAGGAAAACTCCCTGGACTTTGGGGCCCAGCAGAGTTACGCACTCTTTTTCTCCTTCCTCCCTCCTCCCCTTTTCTCTCATACAACATTCACGTCTATTTCCTATGAATGGATCTCCTTCCAGAGTCAGCTTAGCCCTCTGACCCCTTTTCCATCGATCTTTTCCCTGCTGACACAGGCACCACTTCCTGCAAGGTTCTGGGTCTGTGGGTAGAAAACATGTGAGGTGAGCAGGAGGGACACAGCAAGGGCACACTCCAGACTTCCTCTAAAGTAGGAGCGCATATTTGTGGTATGGAAAGAGGGCTGGACTAGGAACTAAGAAACCTGGGTCCTGCCCCAGGCCTGGGACTCACTAGCCATATGGCCTGATCCTGGTCATTGTCCTCCATAGATCATACTCCTGTCATCTATGCCAGATAAGGCCTGCATCTCTAAACGTTCTTCCCAACCCCAAAAGGTAGATAAATACAAATGGAGAGTGAGAAGACTAGAAATGCATCCAAAAGGGGGTAATTCCAGAGTGTGAGCCCACTAGCATCAGCTTCTCCTCCATCACCCTGTGCAAGGCCCAGGCAGGGACAAAGGCCTGCCCTGTCCTTACTTGTCTGAGCTGCTGCCACCACTTGAGGGGCTCAGATCCTCCTCTCACGTCCACGAGAGCTTCTGCCTCCCAGCCTCCTTTTCCTCCCCCATCACCGAGCTGTTTGCTCATTTGCCTGCCGGGATGATAGCTATTAAGGATTTATTTCCTGAGAGAAACTTCTAGTACTGAATCTTGGCCTTGTGCCTCAAACACTGCCCTCTACTGTTTGTAACAACTCTCTCTTCTTTTCTCTCTGCCTGTGTCCTCCTTCCTATCTCCCCCACCCTTTCCCAGGTTCGATCCATTAGCACCAACGTCCGGAGAAACCTGGCCTTCCACACACTCAGCCAGGAAGTCCTGCTCAAGGAGTTCTCCACTATCTCCTGAGACCAGCCGCTGACTGCCCTTACCCATGAGGCTTTTGGGCTGGAGGGGGAGTCAGAGGAGAGGGGGCTGTCCCCAAGGTTGGAGAACAACACAGACACCCAGTTCTCTCGGCGAAGGCCATGCTTCAGGGGAGCTTGGACAGCAGAGGCCAGAAGGGGCAAGCCAGGGATAATCTTATTTGGGGAGGGGTGGGTGGGCACGGAGAGAAGGCTCCCTGGACATCCCTTCACATTTCTAATCGCAATTACAGGTTGAGGCTACTGACTAATTTTCAGGTGCTGTTGGGGCAAGCCTTAGGGTGATGCCAATACCCTGAGGATCAAGGGCTCTCCAAGACGTCTGAAAACAGACAATTCTCAGATGTAGGTGGAACTAATTCTGCTTCCTTTGGCCTGGGGCTCAGCTGGACTTGAAAACTGTCTCCCCTGCCCCTGCTATCACTCTGTCCAGTCATTAGGACTCTTAGCTCAGGCTTAGGGTAGGGTAGGAATGGAGTATCTTCTTCTGTTTTCTAAATCCAAAGCTGACTTATCTGGGAGACTGAAGATTAGAATCCACCCAGTGCTCTGCTGTGCAGCCATCACTTTCTGGATTTGATTCTTGGTGCCAGCAGTACCTGTTACCTTTCCCCTGCCTTCCACCCATTGGCTCATCACACTTTAGGGTCACAACTTTAGCTTTTCATTTTCAAATCTGGTTTAAACTGTCTTTAGGATGTTTGTGTGAAATAAACATTGACAGGTTTTCTGGAGCCCTCAGGTGCCTACTTAGCTGGTTCCTTTTCCAGCAGCCTCCCACCTCCCTAGCCACCCCTCCTCTGGGAGCCCTGCCTGCCTCTGCCTGGCTCCCTCCACGTGTTCCACCCCCTCACCCGGCTGTTGTTTACATCCAGCCTGCCTGAGAATTTCCTCTGGGGAGGGATCTGTTTCTAATGTGGTTTGGTGCCTAGGATGGAGAGAACCTGCTGGGGGCATAGTACCCTCCATCTGAAAGAGGCCAGGTGAGCATCATGGAGAGGCCATCCCGTCTACCCACATTGTAGGTGAAGCCACAGGCAAGACTCCTGACATTTGAGAATTTGGCCTGTGATTCCTCTGAACGGCCTCCATAGGACTACCCAACAGCTGCCTCCTGAGTAGCTGCTGCTCTGAGATCCTCCCTTTCTAAAACACTTCCTAAAGCCTCAGGATGGCAGGGAGCACGCAGCACAGGAAGAGTCTAGGAGTGAGTGCAGGGACCTCCCTGGCTACTGTTCCACTTAAACTTCCAGGGAGGGATACTTGCCCCCCAACCCCCGCTTGGCACCAGGGTTCTGCCTCCAGCATTGAGCAGATATGCACTATGAATCCAGTACCAGAGAATCCACCAACATGCTGCCATGGACAGGTGTAGATTAAGAGATCAGAAGCTGGGTCACCTCTGCTCACTAGATGGATAGCTCAACCTGGGGCATTTAGTGGAACTGGAGCTGGAAGCTGGTGGCAAGTTGAAATGATTAAAAATTGATTTGTATGGGACAGTCTTTTTAGTGTCTTTCTTTTTCCTTAATCTCTTACCCAGAACTCATTTCTCAAATACAGTGTTAAGGTAATTTCCAGGTACTGGTCCCATTTGGCTATGGGGGCCCTGCCTATCCTTATAGACTCTCCTCTGGAGTCTCTGGGCCATAGAGGAAGCAAATTCAGTTCAGAGAAGTCCTTTGGGTGGAAAGAGGGAGAAGAAAGTCCCCTTATCTCCAAACTCAGTATTGAGGAGGGCAGCCAGCCTATTATGGACCCCTGCTAGTCCTTCCTATGAAGTGAATAAGTGCAGGTCAAGGGCATGAAGTCATAAAGGATTCCAATGTAAAGGCCCTTCCATCTCCGGCCTATACACCTTATGCTAAGGACTCTAAACAGGAATCCCGTCCCCTCCTAGAACTGAACTCCAAAGCATCTGCCCGTGCTCTCTCCATTCCCCAGTGTCTGGGCCAGGTCTAGAGGGACCCTCCAGAGCCAGGGGAGAACCAGGACCAGGACATCGCTCCCAAAGACTGTCTTTCCTTTGGCTGCTTGTCCCCTTTTCATGTCTAGTCTCTCACCATAATTCCTGCTGGGTTAATTGAATCAAATGCTTGGAAATTAAATCCAATGAAAGGAATTGAACGTGTTGGGGTCATTTTAGCAGAAGCTTTCGGTCTAAACAGGTCACTCCTCCAAAGGAGCCATTGGGCAGGCAGGATTACCCGGGACACTGCCACTATACCATCCAGACCCACCAAACACTGCCCTCCCCTCCATCCTCATTGGGGGGTGGGATGGGGAGGGTTCGTGGGGAGGGAGCGGGGCTCACATCAAGAGCATTTATTCCCCACTGTGGATCTTCACCTGGATCCTCAAACTCTCCGTTGCCACCTCCTCCCCCCCAAAAAAACTTATGGATAAACTAGGAATCTAGGACAGAGCAGGTGATAGGAGAGAGAAGGCCAGGCAAGTTGAAGAAACAAAAGAGCAAGAAAGTCTTGAGAAGCTGCCCTGTTTCACTTTTCCTTTTCTCCCCAGTTGGCCAACAGGGGTCATTAGATCAGGAAAGAAGGCGCCCTGAGAATGAATGGGCCCAAAGGCCTGGAGTGAGTGAGGGTTGGGGTACTTCTGAGAGAAGGGAATTGCAGCCCACTGGCCCGAGAAAAGTCTGTATTAGTGGCACTGACCCCTCTGAATCCCCACCCCCCCTTCAAGCAGGGTGGGCACTGGCGGGGGCAGGGGGAGGAGGGAGGCACCGAGACCCATACATAGGAAGAGAGCAACAGAGAAAAATAGGGGCTACACAGGGACTGACTAACGGGGACTCGGATGGGAGATTTACCCGACCTGTGCTGGCTTAGAGGGGAAAGTGCCTGAGAATTGGGGGCGGAGTTTCCTCACAGTGGGGCCTTTCTGGCCCTGCTCTCTCTCTTCCACCTCCAAAACCCAGGGCTTCGGGTTTAGGGGGTAGTGTTGTTGGAGAGCCAGTCTCTCTCCCCGCACTTCCCAGCTCACCCTTTCACCGGGTGCCTCCCGGAGCTGCAAAGAGGAGGGGGCGGGGGTAGGGGGAGCCAATCCCGGCAGCGCCAAAGGGGGGAGGCAGTGGTGACAGCCGCGGGGAGGGGGCGGGAGGAAAGAGGCGGCTGGCTCCGGCTCCGCGCTCAGCTCTGCTCTGCCTCAGGCTCTGCGCTCACCTACTGCCCAAGCCTCCCTTCCGCTCCTGCCCCAGGACCCCTGGGTGGGCTCTAGACCCCTCCCGGTCCCCAGACTCTCCTGGCCCCCAGCCCCTTCGCCGCCAGGGGGCGCCGTGTGAGCGCCCTATCCCAGCCACCCGGCGCCCCCTCCCACAGCCCAGGCGGGACGGGAGGGGGTCGCCGGGGGCCATGCGGGGCCAGGGTCGCAAGGAGAGTTTGTCCGATTCCCGAGACCTGGACGGATCCTATGACCAGCTCACTGGTGAGTCGGTGGATCGGGGCTCGTGGGAGGGAGGGTAGATTCCATTCCTCCAAACCCTTAAGCCTCTGACCCTGCCAAGCCCTTACCCACACTCTGCCCCATTTCCAGGCACCTCCTGGCTGTTCTGGGCCCCTGGACACAGGTTCAAAGCCTTGGGTCCTACGGGGGCGGAGGGAGGGGGGATGGCTGGGGGTGGGGAGAGTCGGTGGGCAGGTGGGGAGACAAGGCAGGAGGGTTCTGGTGGGAGGTGCGTGAGTGCCTGTCATTTTTTGTGTGTATGTGTGTGTGTGTGTGTGTGTATGTGTGTGTGTATGTATATATATATATATATGCCTCCCACAGCTGGTTGCCATGTGCCCTGGGCTTGGTGACAGCCAGGGTGAGCATGATTGTATGTGGCTGTGGGATTGTATGATCTCGTCAGATGTTTGAGTGAGGTTATGTAGTATCCTGAGTGTACTAATGAAGTTCTTTGACCATGTGTTTCTGTTCTGTGTGCAACTCTGTGCTTTGAGTGTGTGATCCTGTATGAAGTCGCATGTGACTACCATTAGTGTCAGGGCTTCACTTTATGGTGGTATGTCTCTTTGTAAGATGTTGTGAACTTCCTGGGGCAAGCCTTTGTTAAAGTGGGTTGTGTTGTGTTTTGTGATCGTGAGACTAAGTGGGTTATAGTGACATTTGATACTGATTGTGCACTTTCATGTGGTGGTGTCTTTAGTGGGGCTTTGTGAGTGTCTATGACACGTCTTACCCTGGCTGCTTCTCTAGCTTCCTGGTGCACAAGGAGATCTTCAGTACACACCACTGTTTTCCCCAGGTTTTCCACAAGTAGCCCAGGTGGACCCAGGAGGGACTCTAGTGTCCTAGCTACCCAGCCTGGCTCCTAGGAGCAGCATCTGGCCCCTGTCCCTGGGCTTTGGTTAGTGCTGGGTCAGGTCCCACCCCACCGCCCATAAAGTACTCAGAGATCATTCTTATAACTGAAGCTCATTCGATACCCTACAGCCCTCCCAGAACTTCACCCAAACCCAAAGGGAAACGCACTCTCTTGCCTCCCTCTAGACCCAGAGATAGAAAGAAGCTCTAGGCCTGGGAGGTGCCGCGTGGCCTCCCTTTATAACTGTCCCCCAAACCACTTTGCTGCCCACATACCCTCTCTCTCCCACACTGGGGGGGTATGTGAAACCAGTACCTCTGTGCCTGTGCACATTCCTGGGTTTGGGAGGCAGATCCATGTGTTTGTGTGGGTGACAACTTGTGTACATTTCCATGTACGTGTGCGTTTCTGTCTCTCATTGTGCAGCCTGCTCAAACCCTCTAACAGAAAATGAGGAGGGAAACTGTCTCCTCTGTGTGTGAAACAAGTTGGGGAGGTGAAAGGAGGCTGTGATCCTTGTCTGTCCTGATGGAAATGAGGTTAAGACTTGGGGACAGGGTAGAGGACTAGAATGTGTCTTTCCGACTCACTAAGCCTCGAAGGTCCTAGTTCCTATGCTCAGACTCCCAAGAGGGAAGCCCACTCAGGCAGGCCCCAGATGTGCCCTAGATGTGCCTCAGATCTGGATGGAATCCAAAGGTCCCGCTGTCTATTTCTGCTCTGTGCTGTCCTCATCTCAGGATCCTTGAGCGTAGTAAGGGCCCAGGGCCCTTATTAGCACCACATTAGTCAGTGTTGCTTCCTGTTTTAATTGATCCTCCCTATAATGGAAGCGTCCCCACCTCACTTGGCTGTGTGAATCAGAGATTGATTGGGTGACGGTGGGGAAGCACTTTCATTAGAAGGTGCAGGAATGGAAATGTGAATACCAGGTACGTGTGAGTTTTTCCTCTCTCTGAGCCTCACTTTTCTCATCTGTGAAATGGGGAATACTACCTCCTGCCTGCCGGCCTCCCAAGGGAAAGAGAAAGGTCAAATGTTGGCAAGCATCAAGAATCATGTTCTGTGTCATGAGCATCCTCTCTGTAGAAAGTTCTACACAGGGCTGTGAAAGAGAAATAGGACTACCAGGATCTCTCCTTGCGAAGGAGGCCTTATTTTATAGCAGAAGACAAATGGGGTTGGAATGCCCCCTGTGTTAAAGCGCTGGGCACTCAGAGATGCCTGAGCAGAACCTGAAGGGGAGTCGTTGTCCACGGTACTGAAGAACGTTCAGGGGAGAGGTGCGGCCGCGTCCTCCCAAAGTACCTTCCCTGTGCAGACCGAGAAGACTTTTGGGGGGTGGAGGGAGTGAGAGTCACCCCGCCCCGCATCTAACACCCCTGGTCTTACCAGCCTGGCAGGGCCGCTTGGCAGTGAGGCGGGGTGGGAAAAATCAATGATCAATGGCGGTCCTTTGCCAGCTGGAAACAAAGGAAGAACTGGAAAAGATGAGAGAATATGCACCTGGCTGGCCAAGGCCAGAGCTCCAGTCGCTGGGCCTGGGATCTCCGGAATCGCGTCCTAATGGCCATAAATATTGTTCCCCGGACTGGGGCGCCCCCGTGTGGTATTGAAGGAGCTATGCTTGCGGAGCTGATTCTGTATGTGATGTTACCAAATCAAAGGGCAAGATTTGCATGGAGTTCGGCGGCGACTCTTGCCTTGTAAACGTAAGATTTTCAAACAAAAATACGGGATGCCAGTCGAGAGGAGTGGAATTATGTCCCTTCTGTCCCAGCAGTTTGAAAGCATAGTGGGTAAGAAAAGGGTTTACTTTGGGTAAAGCCGGATGTGAGTGAATTCAGGAAAGAGGTCAGGACTCGGACTGAGAAGAGGGGGCTTCTCCCCCTGCCGGGGTGGCTCAGTGGTTGAGCGTGGACCTATGAACCAGGCGGTCACTGTTCAATTCCCCGTCAGGGCACATGCCAGGGTTGCAGGCTCGATCCCCAGGAGGGGGCGTGCAGGAGGCAGCTGATCAATGATTCTCTCTCATCATTGATGATTCTAGCTCTCTCATTCCCTGCCTCTCTGAAATTTATATATATATATATATATATATATATATATATATATATATATATATATATATATATATATATATTATAAAAAGGGGGGCTTCTCCCAATGCATTTGGCTGGCAGTCAGTGTATGATGGGAGAATCTGTGGACCTGCTGGGACAGAGGGACACAAAACAAACAGTCATGAGAGGAAGGAATTGGGAGCCAGGAGAGAGATCGGTAGGGGCACATCCCTGCCACCTCTTCTTTGCCCAATACACTGGCCAGCTCCTCCTCCCTTCTGCTCTCTCTCCCATTGGTCCAGGAAGTATGGAAGTGTGGGAAGTTGCCATGACAACCGTGTCCTCTCACCTCTTACCCCTTCATATCTCTGCCAAAATACGAAGAGGAGGGTGTGACAAGCAGAGGAAGGGCTGAAGAAGGGCAGTAAAAGATAAGGTTCATTTACCCACAACTCCTTTTTCGAAACCCGTGGGTGCGCCTCTTCCCCAGCAGAAATCCAGAAAATGTTCCCAAAGAAGGCTATGAAGAGAGTCCGCGCTGTCCCGCCCCCCTCCCTCCCCCCCCCCCCGTGCCCCCTCCGCTTCAGCCTCAGTCTAGGGGGCTCTAGGAACTTTGGGGTCCAGTGCTCTAGATGCTGGGGTAGGGCTAGGGCGAGTTCCCCTCGTGCGGTCCGGAGAAGACCTGGAGTGGAATGAGGCGCTGCTGTCTGAGGTCCTGGTCCTGCGGGTCCGGCCCTCCCGCGCCGCCCACGCAGGGCCCACAAGGCGGAGACCCAACCACCCCGGGCCTTGGGGGCGGAGCTTGGCCACTGTGCTCTCAGCGGAATCATGAGCCGTTGCCCCCGCAGGTGCAGGAGCCCATTGGGGCAGGCAGCACGATCCCTCTACCAGCTGGTGACTGGGTCGCTGTCGCCAGGTATGAGGAAGGGAGGAAGGGGCTGGACCCCTCAAAAAGTGAGCGAAGTGGGATGAAGCTTTACAAGGGTGGGGAGGGAAAGGGCCCCTCACAGGTGGAGGGAGCAGGATCCCTCCCAAAAAAAGGGGCGGGGGGTTAAAGGGCAGTACCCATGACAGGGTTCCTTACCGAGGAGGTGGAGGAGATAGGGGTCCTCAAGGAGGAAAGGACAGGGGCATCATGGTCCCTCCCCATGGTAGAGGAGCGGGCAGGGCTTCTCATTGAGGGCAGAGGAGGGGGCTTCAAGCAGGTGAGTGTAGGAGGCAAGACACCTCACAGGGATAAAAGGAAGAAGCTTGCAGCAGAGCAGGGGGAAAGCACAGCCCTTTACTGGATTGTTTAGTTTAATGGGATCGTAAGATGACTGGGGTGAGTGTCCAGAGGAAAAACATCTCAGGTAGGACTGGACCAACATGAACTCGGCTAGTGAGCTCATGCATGACGGGGTGGGTAAACTTGTGTGGCATAAGGATTACATGTCACTGTTTTGTCTCTCTGAGTCGTACTGAGGGGGTTGTGCATGCATCAGTGAGGTTGTGAACCCGCTGGGGCTGTGTCCCTGCGGTTGCATATCCCTGGGATTCTGTGACAGTGGAACTGCCTGTACTCGAGTTTTATGCTTTAGAGTTGGGTTGGGGGTTCCTGAGTCACACTACATGAGTTGTGCAGCCTTCTCAAGATTGTACTTTGGTGTGGGATTTGTGGAATTTATGATATGGGGATTATGGACATCTTATGTTGGCACTGCTATTTGTACACACTTGCCCTTGGGTTTCCTTAGGGCTGCCTGGAAAACCCAGCATCCCCTCCCCTCTGGCCCCAGGGAGGCCGAAACAACCTAACCCTGGGGCATTCTGGAACCTGTAGTTCTCTGGCTCTCTCCATGGTATCCACTTGAGCCCCTGGAGCACAGGCAGGCCTCTCCTTGCCTTGTGCTCCTCAGAAGGAGGGGAGATGGGGCTGAGCCAGAGTCATACTTAGAAGTTGCTTGGGGAGCATGCATCCCCCAAGCCCACTGCTTGGGCCTGTCTTTGGTGACAGATGGCTAGAGCCTGGCAGGGCCAATTCTCAATCATAGACATGACTTCCAGGCCCCAAAATA